TAAATTATGTATATTGTAATTATTTTTATATTTTTAGAATTTAATTATATTATATAAATATTTATATGTATACGTGTTAATTTTAATTATAAATAAAATATAAATAATAATACTCTATTTTTTTACTTTATTATATTATCGTTTTTATTCATCTGACCTCTTAAAATTTTCGACTTTTTTGGAAAGCTTTTTTTGAGTATAAAAGTGTGTGTTTTTTTTTAAGAAATTTTACACTGTTATTTTCTAAGTTGTGATTGTTTTACTTTGAATTTATCAGGTTTTATTTTAATGTAAATATCTTCTGGCTTTATTTTAATATAAATATCTGCTTTGAGAAAATAATTAAGTTATATTTATAATTTTTTTTTTATGTTGATAAATATTCTAAAAATAACCTATATTTATTTATTTGGAATTTCGTATTGAAGATTATAAATGTTATATATAATAAATGATGAAAAGTATATACTTTTATTACTTATTAACAAAAAACCATCATTTATTGTTTCAAATTTAATTTGTAGAATTATTAATCTTGCAATAATTTTAAATTTTTGAGTTATTTTTTATGAAAGACATATGAACCAATTTTTATATATATTCCATTTTTGAATAAAATATATATATATATATATATATATATATATATATATATATATAAGAATATTTTTAATTTGGTTTTAGTTATTATTTATCTTACATATTCTAATCTTTAGTTAGGTTCTTTTTATAATAAAGATTAACCTAATAGAGATTAGTTTTTAATTTAAAACCAAATATGAAGAAATTAAATTGAATAGCGATTTAATTAATTTATTATCTATTGTTGTTATATTTTATGATCTATTTTAAACATAAAATAATAATAATTAAAATTATGTGTAAAAATGAAATATTTATTTTAATTTTTATTGTTTTTATTTTTACTTTCTTATCTTAAAAGAGAAAACTACTTGAATGTATATTTTTTTCTACATTGTTATATATGATATTTTTGTAACTAATATCATAATTGCTAATAAATAATTTATTTATATTTTATGTTTATATGCTTTTTTTTAAAAAAAAAATTAAAATAGCTTAGACTCTGATCACATTAGTGGAAAAATATCTTTAATTTAATAAACTAAAAATATTTTAGAAATTAATTAATATAATTAAATTCAATTAAAAATAATCAGATTATTAATAATTATATAATTAAAAAAAAAAATAAGGTTTGCATTAACATATTAATATAATTAATAATAATGTAACAATAGATTTATATGCCATAGTATGAGTTTAATTTTAAATTTTTAATATATTTTAAATAAAAATATATATTCATAGTCATTATGTATTTTAAATTATATTAATCTTTAATTTATACTTTTTATTTTAAATAAATTAATATTCATAAATTAAATTTAGATTAATTAAAAGCTATATAACTTAAAGTAATATTTTTATGAAAATTAATTGATTTTTCTTATTTATTATTTTAAATTTTTTTAATTAATTATAGTATTACTAGTATAATTTTTTAAGTAAATTTTAAAATTGAATATTTATTATTAATATATTATAAAATTAATATAAACATATAATAATAATCCAAAATAAAATATCTTCCTTTTAAAATAAAGAATTTAAAAATTAAAATATGAATTTTTACTTTTTATTAAATATAAAGAACAAGAAAAATTACAAAAAAAACATTTATATTTATAATGTATTCTATTATTAGAATATAAAATCTATTAATAAAAAATGCCCTTTCAAATTAAAGTTTTTATTGTTACTCATTTAATTCTAATAACAATCAATGTCATATTATCCATTCCAATAGAAGCTCCGTCTTAGTTTTTAGATATAATTTCGTCCAAGAAATCCTAAGATTATTACTATAAATCTTCTTATTTAGAAAAATATTCAATAATATATTAATTATCTTTACATTCCCAAATACCATCACATCCCATAACAATTAAATTAATGTCATTTGTAATTTCTTATACTTAAACATCAGGAAAAGCACTAATCATATAATCTTTAGGATCACAGTTTTTATTTATTTCATTAATTTTATAATCCATATCTCCAATAGCTCTTGAAAGATTTAAATTTCCATTAACTCTTCCATTAAGAACTTATCCTCCTGCATTATTAATTCTTTTCAATTCTATTTCATCATCAGGTTTATGATCTATACTTAAAGGTAAAGCAGTTCCTCCTTTAGAAATAACTGTCCTTGAATCTCCACAATTAGCACAATATATGTTTTTTTTTTCGATAATTAAAATGACGTTTGCTGTACATCCGGCTATTGCGTCAGGAAGTTAGCTCCTGATTAAATCGTCCATTTTTAAAAAAGCTTATGTTAATGCTTCTTTATATTACTTGTTTTTATATTATTCTAAATTTATTAATGTCTATAGAAAATTATCTTATACATATTTGGATATTTCAGCACCACCATGACCATCAAAAACCGCGAACAAAGCATTCTTTTAGCCATCTATATCAGTATTTGCTATATGAGTATCTTCCATTTCTACACGCCATCCTTACATAGAGGCTGCGCAGTATTCATAGTTTGGAGATTAGTTGCTATAGTCAATATCTTTTTGGGTAATCGGTTCTGATAAATAAGCTCCCATTTTTTAAATTTTTTTCTTCTTTTTTTATTTTTTTTCTTTTTCCTTTGTGTATTTATTTTATATATTTAAAAAATATTTATAATACTTTTAAAATAAGCATTTTAATTTAATTAGACCTTTATATTTATATTTTAATTTTTTATTTTTTGTTTTGTTAGAATTTAAATATATAGATGTTTTTTATATATATCTATTAAAATTAATTTTTTATTTTAAAAAAAAAATATTGTTAAAAAATGAAAAATAACTAAAATTTTGTTGTTTAATAAGGATATAATGTTTTATTTATATATTTATTTTTTAAACTAAATAATAAAAAAAAGTAATAAATAAATTATTAAATATAAAAAAAAGGGACCTTATAAATTAGAAACATAATTAAAAAAAGATAAAAATAAATCTATAATAAGTAAGATATTAAGAAAAACAAAAAAAAGATATTTTACATTAAACTTGAAACTGTTTGAATTTTATTATTGTAAAAAAGAATTTTAAAACAAAAAAGAAAGAAAATATATAAAATTAATAGTAAAAATAATAAATAAAAATATTTATATATATATATATATATATATATATATATATATATATATATATATATATATATATATATATATTTTTATTTATTTTTTTATATATTTTTTTAGGATATAGAATAAATAACAGAAATCTAATAATTATAAGATAAAAAAGGAAATTTGATTGAATGGACTTGTGGTTTTGTCATTTATTATAAGAATAATTATTAATTATTTTACTCCTTAAATAACAAAGTTAATTTTTTATGGATGAATGCATTTTCATATTTAATAAAATAACCGATAAATAAATCTTTAGCAAGTAATTTAATTTTTTTTTATTATTAAAAACTTATTAATAAAGTAAAATTTATAATTTTAACTCTTAAATAAAAATAAAAATAAATTATAAAATTTAAATAATTAAGAATTAAATTAAGAAAAATAAGAATTACAATAAACTATATATTAAAATATAAAAAGTTAAAGACTGTTTTTGAAAGATATATAAAATATAGAAGAAAGAGACTTTTAATAAATATAAGAATAAGTAAAAAGACTTGAAGGATAAAATATTTAATAAGATGAAGAATAAAAAATAATATAACAATTATGTGAAAAGTAGCTTAAAATAAAATCAAGAATTAATAATAAAGTTTAAGATTTTTGGAATATAAAAATAATTCCGAGATTAAAATTTCTTTTAGAAAAGGCAAAAGATAATATATATAAAAAAAGTCTTTAAAAAATTATAGAAAAAAAAAAGAATATTAGAAAACTTACATTTTAATTATGAAAATATATATATATATATTTTTTTTTTCATTCTTAAATAATTTATTTCCAATTTAATTTTTTTCTCTCATTATGTACATAAAAGACTATTTTTTAGGCATTTCCTGTTGTTATTCTTAAAATTTTGGAAATCAATTCAGTTAAGAGTTCCAAATCATCAATTTCTTTATATAGAATTCTCGCTAAATCTAGTTAATTGACTTTTTTTATCATTTTATTTTCCTCATTTTCCCATTCTTTTGCATATTATTTTTATTTTCTTCGAATTTCTTCCTCCTCTCCTTATATATCTTTATTATAAACAGCTAAAAAGGGCGGAATTATAACTAAAATATCACCTTAAAAATTTTATAGTTGAAACTTTTCTTTAATTTCTTGAATTTCTCCTCTAAAAAATTTTAAGCAATCCTCCATTTATACAAAAATAATTTATTTTTCACCAAAAACCTTCTATAAAATTCCTAAAAAAATTAATAAAGAATCCATATTAGTAATAAAAACTGTTGTTTCTTTTTTTCTTTTGACCCTTAAAATATTCTCGTGCATATTTTCTTTCATATTTTTTTAGAAAAAACCTTCGAATTAATATTTATCAGCCGGAAAACCACTTTTTGAGAGCGCTATTATTACATTATTTGGTCCAGGGATGCTTTCTATTTATATTTTTTCTTGGAAAGACTATTTTATTATTTCAAATGACCTTTAGGAAATTGTAGGCGTTCCAGAATTATCTATTAGACCTAGCTTTAGGTTGTTTTTAGCCATTAGGATTATTTTTGGGTATATTTGGGGGTTTATGGAAATTAATATGGGATGATTTTGGTCTTTTTTATATTGTTGAATTAATAATTTTATGTATTTGAAATATTCAAGGTCTAAGTTGTATAGTTTTGGGAGAGCTTGGTCGTATTCTTAATCATATACATTATATTTTTGAAGAGTTATTAAAAGTTCTTTTTAAGCTTTTTTTAATTCTTAGTATTTTTCGGCAGGGTTAGGTATATCTTTAACGTCTTAGGTTAAATATTCTTTTAATAAAAAAGGTATTTAAATGGCATTTTATTGGATTTACTATAATGACATAGTTTTGAGTAAATCTTATTAAATATTTTATATTAAATTTTATGTTTTTGATATATCTTGACATAGTAATATATCTTATGCATATATTGCTTCTATTTGGCGGATTGAAAGGTCTTTTATTGATTAATAGGGGGTAGGGATTATTGTAAGAGTAGCTTTACAGGTGTTTTAGATCGGATTTTCGAATGAATGTTAATTTAGGGAAATTTAATGAATTATTTTAGTAGTATTTTTTTAGGGTTTTAGATATTTTAATAGGGTTATCTTAGAAAACATTATTTTATTATATATTTATTTATTTTTGGCTTTTTTTTTTTAATAATACATAATTTTTACAAATATATTTTTGTTTATTTATTTAAAAATGGGTTTTTTTTCAAAAAATGAATAGAATATTAATAATAATTAAGAATTAGTAGATGAAGCTATAAAAGAATTAAATTGTTAGAATTTTATTGATAAATATAAGAATTGCTTAGTGGAAAAAAAAGGTAATTAATGTAAAATTTATGTCGATTAATTTAGATTTTGCTTAAATTACAGATAAACAGAATAAAGAAAAAAATAAAAAATAATAATGAATGAATGATTTAATATTTTTATGTAAACAAATTTATATTTATTAATAATATAATTTCATTAATATATTATAATTCGAAAATGTTATCAAAATATTTAAGTTTTAATCAGTTTTTTGTTTTATTTACTTAATATTCGATATACTTTTACCGTATATATGAAGGTATTTTGAAAAAATTAATGACTTTTTTATTAAATGGTTTCTGTAAATTTTTAGACACATTTTTTCTTACTTTTTTTTTCTTTTTTTCTTCGAGAATTTAAATAAAATTATTAAAATTGAAATTTTATGAAAAACTATATTTTTTCATAATAAATAAATTATCCTTTTAATTTTTTTCTTTTTATTATTAAAAAACTTCTTCTATTTTTTTATTATTAGAAAAAGAATTTAAATTTCTTTTAAACATTTCTTTTCGAAATTCATTAAAAATAGCCTTATTTTTAGCATTTCCTTTGATTTCTTTCCTAAAACCACAATCTTAATTCCATAGAAGTATATCTTCTAGTATTTTTTTATCTATAAAGTATAAAATAGTTTCGTTTTATTTAGAAATAGCCTTAAAATTTCTACTTTTTTTTCTTCAAGGCCTATTATTTGTTTTTCGCCTAAAATTTTAATACTTTTTTCTTATTTAAAAATCCTATTATTTTCCCCAAAATTTATATTGTTTTTTTCAAAAATATATAGCTTTCTATCCGTTTGTTTCAAAATAGTATTATTTTCTTAGAAAAATCTATTATTTTTCCATATAAATTCTACTTCTCCTTATCTAATTATATATATTTTATCCGCAATTGAGTTTTGTTAGAAAACAATTTAATTATAATCGAAAATTTCCTCTTTAAATTCATAACAAAGTTTAACAAGAGAATCTTCTTTTGCATTTGGAAAATGAACTCTTAAAACATTAAATATAAATAAGTTTTTGCTTATTTCTACTTCGAATATTTTCTAATAATGTCTCCCTTCTATATAAAAATATAGAGTTTTTTGAACACATATAGCAGTATATTTACTTGGAAATCCATTTATTACTTAATCTTCCCCTAATGTAGAACCTTTTTCGGCATATTTAACTCTCTATAGAGCACATATGTTATCTGTTTTGAAGTATTTATGTTAATATTTTTCTTTTAAAAGGTTATCTTCGTCTTTATTTCTAATCAGATTTAACATTTATTCGATTTTTTCGACTCTTGTATATATTTTGAACTTGTATTTATTTAATTAGCCATTCAAACACATTTCTTAATTGATTATATTTTCTGGCTTTGGTTAATATATAGCCACTTTTCCTTATAGAATAAAATATAGGTCTACTTTTTGAAAATCTCCTTGATAAAAAAAATAATCACCAGAATACTTATAAGCATATTTTATATAAGGAAATAAACTTTTTATGTAATAGTTTTTGTTTTATTTTCTCATTATTATTGAAAAGTGGTTAAAATCAGATAATACTTAGTATATTAAGTCTAAATCATCATGTGTTAAATTAATTGGGCTTTTTTAAGTTTAGATAAGTTGTAAAAATAAGTCATATTATTTATTTTAAGTTAGAAATTAAAAAATAGGTTATTACATAAAGTTTAAGTTAATTTTTTCTTAATTTGTTTTAATTTTAGAAGATTTTAGTTTTTTTTTATATTTGAAAATATTTTATGAAATCTAATTTTTTTTTCATATTAAAATAAAGATTAAATATTTATGAATTTTTTAATATAAATAAATTTTATATAATATTTTGATTTTTGATTATATTAATAAAAAATTATTTGAAAATATTTATATATATATAAAATATATATATATATATATTTATTTATATATATATATTTACATATTTTATTATCCTCATAATACCTTACTATATTAACATATTTTATTTATTTCCACATATCTTAATTTTTTTTAAAAATGTTTATCATTCATTTATTATTATTTTTTTTTATGTTATTAATACAATTAAAATAATTCTTTTATTTATTATTATTTTTTTATATTTTTTGTTATATTTAATATTTTAATATGAAAATATATAGATTTTTATACTAAATAAGAAAAAAAAAAATTAATTAATTTACTTATATTTCAAAATTTATTATGTTTATATTAATTTTATATAAATCCTTTAAAATATATATTTTATTTGTTTAATTTATTTAATTTTTTATTTATTTTTTAATTATTATAATTTTATATTATTTACAAAGTTTTAAATGTTTAAACTAAAGTTTATCTATATTTTTATTATTTTAATTTTTTGCCATCAGTAAATCCATTAAATTCAGCCTAAATAGATAAATTAATCACAGTATTTTAATAAATATTATTTTATTTCCTTTAAATTCATCATAAATAATTCAATAATTTATATACAGTAATATTTAATTGTTAGGATAATAATAATTATATCTATCTAAAACATATTTAACAAAAATAATACATTATTTTTTTAAAAAATTATCAATTCATTCATATTTAATTACACAAGTTAATAAATTATTTATATTTAATAAATATTTTTCTACTAATTATTTCGTTAGTAAATAATATCTATGTCTAAAGCATACTTTAATAGACTTATGAAAAAAAATTTATTTTATTAAAAACAAAAAAATATTTTTATTTTTTATTAATTAAAGATAACAAAAAATAATTAAAAAGCAAATCATAAAAAAATATATTTAATATTAATTATAATTAAAGAAAATATAATACTATTGTATTCTCAAATAATTAATAAAAATATAATATATATTTTCGTAATTCCTTATAAACCGAAAAAACAAAAAAAATACGAAAAAAAACATAAAAACTTCATTAATCCTTCAAATCTTAAAGTCTATCTTAATACTTTTCCATATCAGAATTAAACCAAATTTTTCCATTACTAGATTCATGTAAAGCGGAATAAATAGCTGCATTAACCACTGCTTCTAATTAAATAGATTTCTCGACATATAATTCATTATATAATTAATTCATTAAAGTATTTTAAGGTATACTTTTTCCAATAAATGAATGAATACACCCCCAAGCATCTAAAGTGTATTTTAAAGGGATACTCCATTTTCTTTCTTAATAACTATAAATGAAACCTGGTTTTAAAACACAAGTTTTCACATTATTTAAATCTAATAGATATTTTTCAGCTTATTCTTTAGTTTCTATATATCTATGAATAAAAGGAGGATGACCTTAAGCACTTAAATAAACTAATTTTTTTTCTATATAATTTTTTAATTTAAAAAAATACAATTTTTTTTTTATTTTTTTTTTAAAAATAAATAATGTATATTTTATTATTTATTAATAATAAATAAACTTTACGAACAGAAAAATCATTTAATTTGTTGCCTATTTTCATTGCACAATCTCTATTTAAATGCTCATATGTACCTGGTTCTCCGGGGTTACTTCTCTTCGTTATTGAAGTGTCTATTAATGTACCTATTGTATATATTGTTGCGTCTGATTATAATAATTAGACTTCAAATGAATCTGGATTTGAGGCATCTGCTTGAATATATTCTATGTTCTTTTGCCATTCTTGGAGTTGTTTGGGAGCACCTGATCGAGATATGCTTGATACTTTGGCTCCTAAATAAAAAGCTTAACGGGCTATTGCAGATCCTAAATAACCTGTACCGCCGACTATACATAAACTTTTACCGTGAAGCATAATAATTTTTTAAAAATTTTATAAAAAAAGATAGATATGTATTTTTTTTTTATTCTTTGTTTAGAAAAAAAAAAAAAATAGTTTATAATTTTATTATATATAAGAAACAAATAAATAAAAAAGATATTTTTTTCAATAAATAAACTATTAATATAAAAAAAAAAAACTAAATCAGTTTTAGAAAAATAAAAAAAAATATATTAATGGCAAATAAAAGTGATAAAAAATAAGAATAATAAAAATAGCAATAAATAAAATATTATCAAACAATAATTTTAATAGTTACAGGATTTTATATAATAAATTATTTATTTAAGGGAGAACTTTTTTATTCATCAACTCTTTTGAATTTATTATTTTTCTCTTTTGTAAATTTTGCCTGTTATTCAAGTATATATAAAAACCTAGAATTAGGACTTGACAGATCTTCTTTCGAATATTAACTTGATATTTTTATTGTAAATACTTTTGTTTAATTTGGTACATGTTTTTGGTCAAAAATTTGGTATTTTTATTTAACCGTTCCTGGATTTATTTTCTGGAAAATTGCTACTTTTTGTTACGAAAGATTAGGAGCTAAATAAGAAGTTAGTGAATAAGAATAATTATCAAAAACTTAAAAAAAGAAAAAGGAAAAAGAAGAAAAAGAAGGAAGAAGAATTTAATACAAAAATATTAAATGAAAATAAAATTAAAATTATTATTATAAAAATAAATATTAATATTTAAGTAAATTAAAATATGTTTAATTAAAAACTTATAATAATAATAAAGTTTTATTTGCTTTAATTTTATAATTTTTTTTTTTTTTTTAATTATTTATTATTAAATATTTTTCTTGTCTAATTCAAAATATTTATTTATTTTACATTGAATTAATGTAAAAAAAATTTATCAATATTAGAATACAGAAAATTACTACTAAATTAGAATTTAATTAAACTAACTAGTATTTAAATTTTTGTTAATTTTAAAGCTACTTTTAAAATTTATATAAGTTTATTAAAAATAAAAGCTAGACATTTTAATATTAAAGGTAACATAAAAAAATTAATTAAAATGAAAAAAAAAATATAAAATAATTAACTATAATAAAAAATATATAATTAATATTTTTTATTTTAATCATAATATTAAAGTTAAGGCAGATAAAGCTAATCCACATAATAATTAAGATGAGAAGTTAGCTTTTTCAGTTTCGGTTTTTTTAGGTTTGCTTTAAACTTATACATGGAAGTTTTATTTAACTTCATCAATTTCATTTTTTTCAGCCAAATTTCTTAATGCATCTTAAGAAAGAGCTATTTTTAAAGAGACTTCAACTAAGGCATTAACATGAGGTTAGAACAGCAAAATATCTACATCGGTTGATCCTAATCCTTATCTAAGAGTCCACCATTAAATATTTCTAACATAATTGTAGATACCAGCATCATCAATGAATTTAACAGTTACAACATGTAAATATTTGGTATACGAGTTGTCCTTGAATAAAATTCTAACATACATATGGTTACCAACAGTATAGACTGGAACAGTTCCTTAAGCTAAGTAAGAAGTACATGTTTAATCAGAACAAGTTCTTCCTTCAGTATCTAAGTTGGCAACAATAATACATTCCTAACCTTTATCACATCCTTCAGTAATTTACTTTTCAACTGTAAGATGGAATACTTCAACTTAGTCTCTGTTTGTATAGACTCTCATTTAAAACCTATGTTATCTAATAACTCTTCTTAAGTGACCTAATTCAATAGCAAAACAAACAATTTAGTAAATGGTCTTCCATCACCAG